CCCAAAACCCACAAAATAATAATATATGATGTTATTTTATACCTGGCATTTAGAATAATCTGAAGTTCACTCCACTCTCTGTTAAGTCTGTTTCGTGTTTCAGAAATACTAGGCTTCCTTGTGTTATCCATAAGATTTTCTAACTTAGATGTAATAATTTCAATCTGTGTCCAACAAGAATTAGCTTTCCTCTCTATGACCTAAAAGAAGATAGGCACATATAAGTAATTCAAAAGGCAACATACTGTGCAAACAGGCTGGTCAATTGTGAAAATTACCTTCAGAGATGTTATTATACAGAGAGCTGGAAGCAAAACATATTATTAAATTGCCTACCACTTCCCATTATAAGACCCTGTTGCCAGCTGCTGATCACTTTGTCAAGCTTAACTCATTCAGTCTGGAATTTTCCATGCCAGGTGTCTGCCTCAGGCTTTTTTGTTCTTTAAATTTCAGCAAAAATACCCTGCCCAGCAATTTTTCAGAACAACATTAGAGAAAAACACATTGTTTTACACGTGTTTACAAAAATTCACACACTCATTTCACTGGGAAGCTCCAGTGTCTCCAGGCTTTGTAGCAAGGATTAGAAATTTTGCAGGAGGGTCAGATGTGGCCTGTAAAAAAAATCATCCACATTTGGCCAATTTATATTCTTTTGAATGACCTTGGGTTGCACATACTCAGTAGAAACTTGTTAGAATCCAGCACCAAAATTTTCTGAAGATGCCAGGGTGCCACTTTGTAGAACTGAAATAAAAGAAACATTCCTCTGTTCTTAGGGCATGTCTAAACTGCAGGGCAAAAGTTGAATTAAGGAACGCAACTTTAGCTATGTCAAATGTGTTGCTGAAGTTGAAATTGTTTAATTCAGCTTTTGGCACTGTCTACACAGCAGGAAGTCAAAAGAAGAATACTCTTCCTTCAACTTCCATCACTCCTTGTGAAATGAGCGTTACAGAAGTCAGAGTAAGAAGTCTGACATCTTGAAATAATGGCTTGCTATGTAGACACAGACGTTGTTATTTTGAAGTAACGTCAGTTATTTCGAAATAACGCCGCAGTGTAGGTGTGCCCTTAGTGGCCCCATTTTGGGGCCCAAGCGCTACAGAAGAAAAATAATATAGAAGGAGGTTGACTTTGCAACATTGCACTTTTTTAACATAGCTTTTTTTGTGTAGTAAATATAGAGCATGACAAAATTATATTTTTGCAAACACTTCAGATCTTGTCAAACTACAATAGCACTGGAGTAATTTTGCTCATAAGGGTCCAAACTCACCTCCCATGTTCCCTGTAAACTGAGTGCTTGTGTGGCCACCCAGGAGAGATTCAAATGCCACCCAACTGATTAGCAGAGTGCTCACAGCTAGGTTTTCTGTTTCTATTGGTGGTGCACATAAACACATGCCTTGGTGCACATAAAAAAATATTTTGCACATGGATGGAAACAATTAGAGGGGACATTGATCTACTCCTAGCTAACTGCCACAACTCCACTGCTATGTAGGGCCTCAATCTTGCAGAGTTGAGCTATGTCTGCCAAATGCCCTCGACTCGCTGAAGCCAATCACCGTTGGGAATGTGCATTCTCCTCTCAGAAGTATGCTCAGTACCTTGGAAGATGGTAGTTCAAACAAGAGTAATTTAACTCTCCCTTCCTAAACATATCCTACAAATTGTACACAAGCAATATGTTCTTCAAAATTATCAGTATTTACCTGTAGATCTAGCAGCTTATTCTGAAGGCATGAGGTGTCTCTTATTTCATCAGTGAAAGCAGAATCCACTTTATCTCTGGCTTTTTGTAAATGAAGTTCCAGATTACTCCTCTGTGTATCAAAGCTAGGAAAAGATGCAGTAGTTCATTAGACAATATCAATTTGCCTTTAACAGGCAATAGGAAGGGGTAAATAACTGGGGGTCACAACTTACTGAATAATTGCTTTAATTGCCATTTCTTTAACAGCAATTAAAGTAAGTTCAGCAACTTGCTCATGTATTTGTTTTTTACCTACAGGAATAAGCCTTTGTGTTTAAAATGGAATAATTTCACCTAGCTACCTGATTTGTGTATGCCAGTTCCTGAACTCCAGCTCAAACCTATTTTTTATGTGCAAAAACAATGAATTTCTGGAAATCTGGCTTCAACATATTTAGGCAAATACACACATCCAAAATCAAAGTTTCCTCTGATTAAGGAAGAAAGAATAGCAGAAAAATCATGAGGTCTACTAGTTTCTTTGTTATATAGATCTAACTTATTTTTCCTGTATCTAAACATTACTGTGATGGGCTCCACAGCAAGATAGATAAACAAAATAAAGAAGACGAAATATAAATAGAGAACAGAATTCACTATAGCAAAAGTAGTCCAGATATATGAAATTTCCAATTTCTGTGTAACTTGTTAGTATAGTATTCTCTCCCAATGTTCATATTTTGTCACTTAAAAATTACCTTTCTAATAAATTCTTTAAGGGCAAATCACTGTCTCTCTCAAACTTCTTTGCACAGCTTTCACCATTCCGTTGTTTCAGGTCTGATTCAAAAATAACATCTGAAACTGGACCTGATGCCTAATAAAAGTAAATAAATCAATTATGAAAATCAGTGTATTACCTTATATCTATGTATTCAACAAAATCAGAAGACATACATACATGGTAGAAAGAAACAAGCAATCACTTCCTCATGCCAAACACACCCAGTTTCCAAGAGAAGAGGTTCCATATATGAACATAAGATTCACTAAAACTAGATTATTAAGTACAATTATAAAATTATGAAACACGCCTCTTTGCAAGGACTATACACACATTTTTGGATGTCTTGCTAATGAATACTATTATGCCTATGTACAGGGCTCGCCAAACCGCGGCGAGCCCCACTCGCCAGCCGCGCTGTCCAGCGACCTGCGCGTGCACAGATCGTTCTGCGCGTGCACAGATCGCCGGAACCCAGTTCTTACAGGTTACAATCTACTCGTCACGGTCGAGAAGATTGTATAATTTGTCGAGCTCTGCCTATGTACATCTCTGGTCATATAAATTGTCATCCTCTTGTACCACACTCTAAAATAAAACCTTTTCCTCTGTGGCATTCAACTACCAGTCAACAGTAGTATCCCCCATCTTAGCAATTGCTTAATAAAGTTATACTCTTTTTATTTTAGTATTTCCATAGAAGGAAACCCCTCCACACCCTTCATCATTTTTAATCTCTTTATCCCCTGCAATTTGTTAATCTCTTATGACTACGGAATGGCCCAAAATTCAATGTAGTATTTCTAGGTATGTTTCCTTCAATGCTAGAAGCTGACATTCACCCCATCAAGAAAGATGTCCAAGAACTTCAGTCCTATTTTGAGGATTTATGTGGCCCATAGGTTGTCCCTTTGCATACGAATGACTTCTACTAAGGGTGAAGAAGTAAATTGTAAGTTCTCTGGGACAGAGACAGTCTATCCAATAAGAATTTGTACACTGTAAGCATAACAGGGTCCTGAGCTTTGACTGGCATGCTTGAGTCCAATGTGATACAGTTACAATAACTGCTCTCCATTTCCTTGTGATCCACTCTAGATGAACCCATGTTTGCTAATGGTATGTCATCTGTCTCGGGATGGTTTAATCCGAACAAATCTTGCATCCTGGCAGGGGGTCAGACTAGATGACCATTATGGTCCTTCTTAACCCTATGAGTCTATGATCTGAATTACATACCTCCTGAGTTGAAAGTATATCAACTGATTGGGATGAAATGTGCTTTTCTCCATTGTCAGGAGCATATAAAGAGCCCCTAAGGTTTAAAAGAAATTTCAGTTTAATAACAAAACAACTAGTGAATACAAAGAAAGAACACTGCCATATGTTTCAAAAGACAAAAAAACAAACACTGCAACTCTGCCAGAGATTAGTTTAACATGACATTGACTAATTTTATCAAAATATTTTAAAAGAACTAAGTACACAAGAAGAATATGCTCCAAGTTACAATCCTGTGGTAGCAGGAAGATGATCTAGATTTCTTCATTTTATGGAGCTATGATAAATTGTACTGCAAAATACTCACCCTTGTTCAGATGCCTGACCATCTCCAACATGGGACAGCAGAGTTCTGTAAGCATCAGCAGCACATTTCTGAAGCTGTTCTTGCTTTTGTTCACACTCTGCAATGAGTTTCTTTGTTTCTGGGTGAGTTTCTTTAGCAGTCAGTTTTTTGCACATCGCTTTAAGAACTTGTAAGCTGTTGTTCAATTCCCCCAGGCAGCCTTCAGGAGAGAAAAAAGCCTATGTGAAGGAACAAACATGTTAAAATTAGGGCAATGTGATTATATTCAGACACTGCTCTATTTAGCGTTCGTTTGTCAAGTACAGGCAGTCCCCGGGTTACATACAAGATAGGGACTATAGGTTTGTTCTTAAGTTGAATTTGTATGTAAGTCGGAACTGGCTCCAGATTCAGCCGCTGCTGAAACTGATCAGCTGCTGACTACAGGAAGCCCTAGGCAGGAGTTGCTCTGCCCCCGGCT